TTGTAAACTTTACAGGAAGTCAAAATTCTAACATTATCTTCACTATTGTAAATTTATACTAACTGACCTTTATTTTTGATGAAAAAAATTTTTTCTCTGTGAAAATTTTTTTCTGTATGACCTAGTCGAAAATTTTCTCATAATGAAAATAACTAGTACTGTTAAATGCATGTTTTTATAAATTCAAGTTGAAATTTTTAACTATAGACAATGATTTTTATGGAATTTTAAAATTGGATAAAATTTTAAGCCCACAATTTTACAATAGCAAAACTATCTTTTTTTATATGGGGAAAAAATGTTCAGAAATTTGCTTGCCATAAATGATTTTCATTTGAAGTTACAATTTTTGAAAATATTTTCGTACAATATTTTCGCGTTGATTTTTTAATTTTCATAAATTGTGTCTAAATTTTCACGAAATAGGTACCTCTCAAAAATAAAAAACCCAGACAGACCCCTGATCTCATTATTAGTTCTAAATAAAATAATAATAAAAGTCATAGGTTGTGCAATGAATTTCGGGTTGGGTTTGATTGATAAATAATTATGCATCACTCAATTTTTTTTTAATAACAATATTATAAATAATTCATATAAAAAACAGATATATTTCTTATTCATACTTGTTATTTTTAAATTTTGTAAATTATTCTTGGATTTAAAATCAGCTGGAAAATTTAACGTCTCATTTTAAATAACTTAGTTCAATTAGTAGTTATTTTAAACTTCAATAGTATAGTAATAAAAATGTTCAACTCCTTGCATCACGCTGCTAGTTAGTTTGCTTATACACCTACCCTCTTAAATTAATAGATCAACGTAAGTGCCATGTTTGTGCAATTTAATTCATTCATATATTAATTGCTCTGTTACAACACTTATGAGGGCATATAAAGTTTAAAAAATTGGTCGAAATATTATTTTTCACGTTCTTGGTCTCTAAAATGTTGGGATAAAAATACCTCAATAAAGAATTCTTAAAGTGGTAAACTGCACAATATTGATGGCTAATTCTTGTCACTCGTACAAAACTTTAGAGGGGAGAAGCTATTCATCTATGACTTTAGCTAAAAACCAGTATCAAACAATGGCACATTTTTCAGGTCTTTTGTTTCTTACATAATTGTTACATCCCTATTTTATAATTGGATAAAACTTTTGGTTTATGTAAAAATCCATTTCTAAATCCATTCTAAAATCTATTAAAATACCAGCTAATATTGATGACTTTATTTTGCATAATTAGCTCCAAAGAAAAAACATAACAAAGTCAAAACAACAATGATGTCAAAATCCTGTGCATTAAACTTCTTTTTCTTTTTCCGCTATCTGTAGACCTTTCAAATTAAACATTCAGAATTATACATCAACTCCTATGATAACCAATAGCCACTCATGCTTTACAACCATTCTTAATTTATGATTTTCTAAAGTAAAGGAAATTTCAGTGATATTTTCAAAATATTTAAAATGGAAAAGCTAATAGCTTTATTTTCGGCTTCAGGAAAAATAAAATATGCACGATAACAATAAACACACAAATCATTCGTGTGTATCGGCAATTCCACCATTGAGAAATTTCTAAAATAATCAAGCAATTCTAATAATTTTTGCTAAATCTTGGTATCATTTACACTTCTTAGTAACTTTCACCAGTTTAAAAAGATTTTTAAAAATTAAATACTGGGTGTTACAGACGTAACACAATCTAGTCTTATATAAGATTTTAAATTTCTATAAGTTTCTAAACATTAAAATGTAAATGACTTATTTTTAGCAAAAATTATTTTAATTGCTTGAGTTTTCTTAGTTTTTTTTAAAACTGAGATACATTCCTTTATAGTCTGAAAATATGACATTTCTTAAACTGTGGAACTGCCTAAATGTTAATTTTATATAATATTAAGTTATGACGAAGGTTTCTCAAAGGTAGGTATTAATCTTCTTTTTTTTTTCTTAAAGATTTTACAGGCAGTTTTATGTTAAGTCAATACAGAAAGTTTTACTAATAATTGTTTCTTTTGGAAACAATCTTATTTGAATTTTAAATTTTCACAAAGCAAGAAAATTTTGGATGTTAATTTTGAAAAGGGTAACAGCAAGTAACAGTTTAAATGTAGTTTTTTGTACAATAAAAGCTTGACTATCTGGAATGCACACGAGAATCAGCAAATTCTGAATATTCCAAAATTTCGATTTTTACTATTAGCGTATCCTTTAGGAGGGGAAATGTATCACTTTAATGGAGAAAAAAAAATGTTGCAATCGACGCTTATAAAACAACTACAATGAAGGATTAAAAAAATAATAATAGTTGTCCTTAAAAATTATTAAACATAAATGAAAAAACTGGGGGTGACGCTCTTTCTGAACTAAATGCTTATTTCTAATTGAGTGAAATTAAAGGATATTAGTTATTTTTCAAGAGTTGATGTTTATTTTACTGCATATTTTCGCATGTTCCAAGTCATCTTTAGGGATGACTTGGAACATTGAACTAGGAACTTGGAAAAGAATACAATCCAAAAATTCTAGTTGCTTGAGCTTTCTGGTTATTTAAATTTTGGATAGTTAGGCTTTGACTGTATTATGTTTCCTAGAGTATGTGATAATGTTTAAGCAACATAATAACTGTCTCAATAGCATTTCAAGAAAAAATCTATATATTTCTGCCACAAGGTTACTTAATTGTCAATTTTATTGATTCGATTCCTAATAGTTCTAGAAATTTACAACTTATATGTTAATACTTAACATTGCTAACATAGTACTATATACATTACGAACATAGCAGAAGATAATTTGCATTAATAATAGTTGAACTGCATTTTTGTAGTAATTTTTGAACATACTTATTCATATTTTTCAATTAATTTTGAAATGTCAAATGGTGTATGTATATGATTGTATATTATTGAGAGAAAAATTAAAAACAAACCACATTCCACTATGCATTGTAATTTTTAGTAACATTACATAAGAAACACTATAAAAAGTAACTATAAGAATCACTTACTTAGTTTTCTGTTAGTTTAAAAAGTTAATGGTCTAACTATATAAACCTCTATTGCATACAACATGAAAAGAAATTTAAGAATAAACCATATTCCACTAAATATTGCAGTCCTCATTCAATTGGAAAAATAATGCTGAGGTGTTAACTATTTAATTTGTAAAAAGTACAATGCAAAATTTCTGCGTTCATACAGTTAATTATATATGTTAATAACTGTCTGATGTAATGATTTCTAGACATCATACTGTATTACAAAATTGTTTTTTTTAGTTCTCTTACTTAATTTTTAAAAAGTTTTTGTTTTCCAAAAAAAAAACAACTCCTGAACAAAAACTACTAATGAAAGTGTGAATGGTTATTAGTTATCATCAATAATATGCATTTGTTAGATCATTGAGATGCTACTGAAGCAGCGAAAATGTTAAGCGTGAAATTGTAACTGAAAATTTAATGTTAATCTTCTGTTCAAATGAAATGTTCAAATCTTCTGTTCAATGTTAATCTTCTTGCTTAACTTTTCCTCCTAATAAAAACATTATCAAATCGAGATATTCTACTGATTTTTAATCCATATAGTTTGGGCTAACAACTTTTATATTTCATAATGCATTTTCTAATCTCTTGTACGTGAAAGGCATAAATTTCATCTTCTTTAAGTTAACTCTCTTGAAAATTAATATTGAAAGTCAAAAATATGTGCTGAAATAATTTTATTTTAACCTAAACAAAAAAAAAAAAAAAAAAAAAAAAAAAAAAAAAAAAAAANAAAAAAAAAAAAAAAAAAGAGTACAAATTTACCAGAAGTTATGAATAAAGAAGCTTACCTTTTCATCTTATCTTTCTAAAAATTCATTCTTATATCAGTAAATCAGTATTCAAATTCCCTGAATCCCCTTTTGAAAAAAAAAATTTAAACAATGTTGAGGTACATTGTCGGTGGTCATGTATTTCTGAGAGAAGATTTAAAATTTGGTTTACCAGCAAGAGAAACTTTGAGGAATCTTTACTTAAATATTCAAGCAGCTAAATAAAAAACTAACCATTTTTTTTATCAATCTATCCACCATATAAATGGTAGAGATAAAAAAAAACGTTCCTTTACTATATTTAAAACCCTTATCTTTAATAATAATTAATGCTCAAAAAATATTTTTTTCAAAGAAATGGTTATCAATTAAAAAGAAATTTTAATACTTTTTCCAAATTATTCCTCATTAGCCTTAAAATATTTTTGAGTATTTCCAATAATTAAATTTTTTTGTCTGATAAGCAGCTTAAAAATTTTATTTCTTTATTTTAAGTTATTCATCTGAATAGGAAAATTCTCATTAAGCAAGGAAAAATGCACATATTTTTAGAAAAGAAATAACACTCTACAACATCTGGTTGTCAAGTTGCTATATTTTTTCAGTGGTATATAAAAATTAAGAGGTAAGCTCCAAATAAATACTCTAAAGTATTCACTTCATCGTGTTAATCAACTGTAAGGCTAACTAAGCTAAGATAAACTACATTGACAGGGGGTCTCAGTATAGCTTAGCTCTACATTGAAAGCTAAACTCCCATGGCTTACATGAAATCCTATTTGAATTTGTTAAGAATTTTATTTTTTTTTTAAAAATTGATTTTTGTAGTTCAGTGCTCAAACTTTTAACCCCGCATCCCCAATATATATATATCTGTACAAAAGACGTTAAAAATATTTAACCGGTATCCTAAGGTGGGTTATGTGCACACAGTCTTTTTTGCTTACCATTTTAATTTTAAATAAAAGAAGAAGAAAAAAAAATCTAGCGGTCAGTTTCCCGGCAGTTCACAGAGGACAAGGCCTTGCATGCATAGATATGGTGAGCTGAACTATAATTGTTGCTCTCTTTTTTTATTGTTTCTCTCATCGCCTTGCTGCTTGCTGTGTCGTGCTGCCCACTCCTGCCACCTACCAAACAATCGGCCAATCACCATTGAATCTGCTACTAATTAGCCGCACGTGGTTGAGACTTTGATCGGCAAGAAGCGCCCTCGTGACCCTGCTGATGACCTCATTCTGGTATTGGCCCTCTACTGCTTTTGCATGACGACAGCTCTTTTTTTTTTTTAGTAAGCGTAGCACATTGCAAGGGATTAGGCAGTAGTCCATTCCAAGCAGAACAATCCTCCTTTCCATTTCCTTGTCAAGTAGAGCCTTTTATCTTAAAAACCTCTCCCATAAATATATCTATCCAGAGTTGGCAAGGTTTAAGGACAGAATGGATTAATCCACGGTTTAAACCATCCTGTCCAAAACCCTTTATATTCAAATTATGTCACAATTTAATAAAATAAAAAAAATATTGTGAAAAATTAAAAGTTTGATTTTTGAACAAGAAACAAATGAAGACAAGTTTTTGTTTAATTAAAAAAAGCTAATTAATATTTTTAATATTTCATTATTTATCCTTGTGCAAAAAATAGAATTTCTCAGTATTAAAAGCATATTTATTCATATATAAAGGATTAGGTGTTCACTTTTGTTGTTCAATAAATTGTGAAGCTTCAGAAGTTCTGAATTTTTTTCCTATTATATCATATTATTTCCCTTGAATAAATTGAACAAAATAGTATTAAAAGTATCAAGTATTTATTAATCTATGTAATTATTATGTGTACAATGGTTATACATGTAGGATTTTTACCTTTTACCATTGTTCACGATTTTAGACAATTTAAGACGGTTTGAGGTAGTAAAACCCTCATGTCCTGTCCGAAACCAGTTTAGGACGTCCAAAACCCTAACCCCTGTATCTATCTGTTCATTTTTATTTATTTTTTAATTGTGCGACACAAGCATATATATTAGGCAGATGATCGTGGCATTTTTCATTGGGAGTAATGTTTGAAATACCTTTCCTTTTTTGTACAAACACTTCTATGAGTACATTTGATGCTGCATTTTTGAATCAAATTTAGTCAAAGAACCGGTGAAATATTGCAAGCAAGGTTAGCAGTGTGGTACTATTGGCATAATTTTTATCTTTACAAAGTTAGACAATTTTTAGTCTACAATAAAAGTTATTTTCAGCCTAAACCTATTCAAATATAAATAAAATTTCTATTAATTATAATACAGGTATCAATCTGCAAAACCTGCGATTGAAAAGCGATGCTTTGATAGACTGCTTTAATTAATCCTTTGCTTACGGCGCTTAGTATGATGAAGCCCCCTGTTATACCAGCCGTAAGCAAAAGATTAATAGTTGACGTGAGCCGTAACGGCTCAGGGGATAGAGCGTTCACCTTTCAATGAGGTGGACCAGGTGTGAATCCTACCGATGGCTGGTTGATACAAATCCGCATCCGGTTTCCATGGACCATAGTGCTGACGTGAAATATCCTCAGTGGTAGACAGATCATGGCAGGTTCTTGTGATTTTCCTCTCCATGTAACGTTAATGCGAGTTAGTTCCACCAAAAAGTCCACCAAAGCGAATTTCTCACAATACTAGATCCAGGAGTTCACTTGTCTTCTGAATTGGGTTCAAAATTACAAGGCTACGTCATTGAACATTTAGCAGTCGTAAACCTGAAAATTGGGTCGGCTGTTCAACGACGGTTATAAAATAGTTTGCTTGATAACAAGTGCACCCTTTTAGATTGCCACCCATCCTCTGCCATGAGTGACATATAATAAGTCTTAATTTAGGGCTATTTCTTAGAAACTCGACATCCATTACTATTGATACACAAACTCAAACAGTTACATTTTGAGCACACACTTAGTGATTTCACTCCCATTTTTACCTATTTGATCTGATTAAAGATGATTTTGGATTCCTAGAATACAATTATTTTGAATTGCGCAGAAAAATTTTATTAAATACTTTCTTCAACCTTCAAGTTAATTTGGATTTTTTTTTTTTTGGTGCTAAAATGTATCTTGACATGCTTCTTATTCAAAGCAACTTAATAACTTTCAAATACCAGAGTCTCAGGTACACTAAAGAAAGATTCATTTCCACAAGTCTTCCATATTCAGACTTAAACTGTGAAAGGGAAATTGAAATGCAATATGTCGTTAAACATTTAGTGCAAATTTTTTTTTTTTATAAATGAATAAAACTATGATTTCAGCTACTCAATATTCAAATATTAATTATTCTTTTTAAGCATATTAGTCAAATGTCATACAATTATTAGGAAAAATTTATGAACTAGACCTATTATCTCATTTTACATGATTTTGAAACTGCTCATCTTAAAAATACTGTTACCCTGTTAAAATTGTTACCTGTTCTGCTTGGAAGGCATTATAAAATCCTTTTAAGACCATTCCCTTATTATACAATTCGAAGTAAATTCTTTGCATAAAATTCATATGCAAGCCGTTAAATTACCCATATTTATCCTTTCATGGTAAAACAAAACTCTTATTCACTAGACTCTGGTATTTTAAATGAAAAATTATTTCTGCAATATTTTTGTAAAATTAAATCTTGAAATTAAAATAATAATTTAAGTAAATCTTGGGTACTTCATTAATATTAATTACAGTAGGGAACCGATTATCCGGAACGATCGGGACCACCGCTATTCCGGATAACTGCTTTTTCCGGTTTTCGGAATCGCTACAAAAAACCGTTTTTTAATTGTTAAACCCAACTAAAAAATAAAAAAAAATTTGGAAATAATCTTAAAAAGAGGAAAAAACGATGAAGTAATACACTAATGATTATTTCCAAAATGATGGTAAAGTGAACATCTTTCAAAAAAGAAAGAAAAATCCTAAAATCTTATGAAGAAAAAAATATTTTTTTTTAAAAAAATAGCGGGAAAATGTATTGAATTTTGTTCCGGTTTTTTGGTTTTCCGGTTTTCTGATTTCCGGATAACGGGTTCTGTACTGTATATAGATACCCCTTTTATTATGGTCTTTAAAGGATTGTATGAAAAATATTTCTTGTAATAAATTTGATTTACAAGAATGCCCTACATAACTAATACAGTTTGTTTTATTTTCAAAAAGGGTGATATGCTCAAATTTTATTCTTTTTGAAACTCAGAGACTCATAGGTCTTAGAACTTTCTTTGCCTCTCATTTCACACCTATTGCACAATAGGGCTTACTTATTTAACTTATTTGAGATACTTCTGTCAATCTTTATGCTAATCAAATCATGTTATCAATTACTTTTTGATCATATTGCTCAGTAAACACAAGGGACACATATTTACAACTTCTTACATATCAAACATGATTATTACAAATCAAACATGAACTTTAACAGTGTCGGCTATTACATGTTATTGTTTTTGTACGAATATTCATAGTGACTTATATAAAAGCTTTCAGTAAAATAATAGTTATTTTAATGTAACTTTGTTTTAAACATATTGCAATAAAATATTTGAAAAGAAAACATAATCAATGAGTGACATTTATCAAAAGCATATTTTTTAGTAAACCCGAGGAATGAATCCGTTTATTTTGTAATTTTAGACATTATTATTTTTTCTCTAGGAGCTAGTTATAGAAAAATAAATTTTTTCAACTGAAAAGGATGCTATTTGACTTTTTATATGGCGACTTTTTTCAGATTTTTTATGTTAAAATATTTTTGGGATTGAGATTGAAAGAAATTCAATTAGCTTATCACCTTAAATAAGTTTGATTTTTGAAACCTAATCTATAAATTATGTAGTTATGTTTTCAAATGAAGGCTGTGAATAGCCTCCCATGGTCAGCCTCTCTTCTTGGCCCCAGGTAACCTTTATAGTTTGTCTAAGCTAAGAACTCCTCCCACCACAAAGAGTCTGAGGCCGTCTGGTGATATGGAAGGAAGAATGGCTCATTTTAGGGAGGGTAGTTTCACTCTAGGAACAATAGACCGAAAAAAAAGATTCCCTTTCTCTCTCTGACCCGAGCCGAAACCTTACTGGATATAGTCATACCTCGTTACCATAGTCACTGCCACAAATCCAGACGAATGTTTAGAGGAGTTCTTGTTTTAGATAAACTATAGCATCCTGTGTTCCGACTTTCTTCTTAGCCCCAGGTAACCTTTACTGTTACTCAAATTAATGCCCTCTTGAATTTTTTTTCTAAGTTAAGGTTGAAAAACAACTTCCGACTGACATTTAAAAATGGATGAATTTATTAAGAAGTATACTTCCCATGACCTTATAATGGGTTAATTTAAATTAGCAGCTCATTCAATAAGAGAATTCCTTGCAATGTGCTCGTTTTTTAGGTTCTAGGCAATTATTATTTGCACTTTTGTTTATTGGTATGGTGTGGAATGCTCCCCTCTTACAACAATTAATAATAAGTTTGTATTATGTTACTAATTAGGATACTAAGAAGCTTTAACTCCTATATTTTTGCCTACCTTCTTTTAATAAATAAGAAACATATTTAATATCTCATGTTTTTTTTATAGATATATAACTCTTTTTGCACAATCATTCATATTTCTTGAATAAAAGCGATTTTATCATTTATAACCCAAAAGTAAAATTTAATGGCATAATGTAATAAAATGAACTTATTATAGTATCATATATAATGGGGAAAAAATTGTAAGAATTTCAATAGCATTTTAAAAGTTGTTAAATAGATTTTAAATACACATTAACTACCTTTGGCTCTTACACCCTTTTTTAAACAATAAATTTTAATATTCAAACATGTTATGGGGATTCCTTATAAAATAAATTTGATATGTCTCTCATATCGATTTAAAAGAATTTTATGTAAATTGCATTGGTGAAGCAACTTTTCTATTTATTATTTTTTTTACAAGGGATGCACCAAAAATTTTGTTACTTATTCTTCCTCTGTGTGCCAAATATTGTTATTTGTATTATCATTCAAAATTATCGTACTTGATCAAACATTTTTCCTTTTTTTTTCATTTCAATAATTGTAAATGAAAATTTATCTTGCTTTTTATAGACATTTTTGTAACTTCAGAGACTTCATCTTCTCTTTCTTTCAAAACATTGAATGTTTGATTTAAATGATGAAACAAGATAATATTAACAGAGATAATTATTAACAATTAACAACAGGATAATAATAATAAAAAGCTGTTTTAATTGCATTTTTAAACAATAAAAATAAAACAAATTTTTGGTCAAAGTTTTTGGAGATCTTAAGATTATATCTTAAAATATAAGTTCCAAAATAATTGCAAATTTTCATTCTTCGACGATAAACTGTACGATATTCTGTACGTTTTGTTTTCTTTATTATCTTGCTTTTTACTGAACGAAGTAACTACTCAAAATCTTTATTTGGTGTATCCCTATTTTAAATGAAACAAAATTATCAATTCAAACTTGTAGTTAGCATTCTTATTTTAACACTTATTTAATTAATGTTTTGTGCGAAATTTTTTTAAAAATATTGTTAGAAGTTAAGAAATTTCATTCTACTGCAGAAGGAATTAACAAACATACGGAGCACTATGAATTAAGCATAATACTAATATTGCCTTTCTGTGAATTTACAATTTTGTCATAATTTTTGCTTGTATTTTTAATGAGAATTTTAATTTAACATTCATTTCTCTAACTTAGATAGAAACTTTTATTTATGCTTTTTACTTTAATTTGTGAAAGAGAAGCCGAAATAGTGTGAAATTTATGTAATAATTGTAATCTTGCCTCAGAGTATTATTGATTTCTGTACCTGGTGAACAAATGATGTGGACGACCAAGTAAAGTGGGGAAAAAAACATTTATAAATGCTTTGATTGTTGATAATGAATTCTTTCTTCATGTATCTTTAGACATTTCCTGGAATAGTTCCGTATGCAAAACGAGCTGCTGTTGATAAAAGTGGCCTTCCAGTTTATCAGCCAACTGGAGCAGCCTATCAGCAGGCTTTGGCCATGCAGGTCCAACAACCTTTCGTGCCTGTAACTTGTAAGTCTTAGTCTTTCTCATCATTTTATTAGACAGGTCTTATTTAATTATACTGTATAACACTAATATTTTAGGGATCTTATTTGAGAACTCCTCAGAAATGGAACATTTCTCCGGGATCTTCTAAAAATGATATTTAATACTTTTCAGAAATAGGATGTTCTCGAAACCCTTGCCAAGCTTTAAATAGCATAAGGAATATATTTTTGGGAGTAACAAACCATTTTTTAATACAAAAATCCAATTTTTATAATCACTCTTAAATCATTTTATTCCTTGATCTTCTATGAATGAGTTTCATATAAGTTTTACGTCTTTTTTTTTTTTCTTTCAAACTTAGTCATTTAATCTAAAATAGTTTAAAAAGGGATAAAAAAAATTTCTATTTATAGATAAAAAGTTATAGAAGTTAAGAATTGTTATTAAAATTTATTTTTTGCATGGAATTTTCTTTGGATCAAGCAAATATAAAAATTTGCTATCAATATGTTTTAATTTGTGTTGTTCCAGACACATGGCAAAGAACGGAGAAAGTAAAATTTACAATATGGAGCTCAAATTTTTATCTGTATTCTTGATTCAATAATTAGAGCCATATTTTTCATTTTGCATCAAACACCTACTTTTTAAGTTTCTAAAATCAAAATATATATAAAAACCTGGGTTCAAAATTACAAGGCTACGGAGTTGAAAATTAGTAGTCATAAACCCCAAAAATTGGGTCGGCTGTTCAACGACGGTTATAAAATACAGTAGGGAACCGATTATCCGGAACGGTCGGGACCATCGCTATTCCGGATAACTTATTCTTCCGGTTTTCTGAATCGCTACAAAAAGCCGACTTTAAAAGAAAAAAAAATTGGAAATGATCTTAAAAATAAGAAAAAACAATGAAGTAATACACTAATGATTATTTCCAAAATGATGGTAAGGTAAACCTCTTTAAAAAAAGAAAGAAAAATCGTAAAATCTTACAAGGAAAAAATTATTTTTTAAAAAAAAAAAAATGGCGAGAAAATTTATCAAATTTTGTTCCGGTCTTTTGGTTTTCTGATTTCCGGATAACGGGTTCTGTATGTAGAATAAAAATATAGCATACCAGAGCTGTGATGGCTCAGGGGATAGAGTGTTAGTCTTCCACTGCAGTAAACCAGGTTCGAATCCCAGCAATGGCTGATCGATATGAATTCCGTATACGGCTTGCACCGAGCTCAATGCTGACGCAAAATATCCGCAGTAGTAGACGGATCATGGGTTAGAGTCCCCTTTTCCTCAGGCTAACTGAGGGAGATTTTCGTGATTTCTCTCTCCATGTAACGCAAGTTTGGATTAGTTCTAGCAAAAAGTCCTCCACGAAGGCACATTTCTCCCAATACTTGATCCAGGAGTTCCCTTGTCTTCTGGATTAGGTTCAAAGTTACAGGGATGCAGAGTTGAACATTAGTAGTCGTAAACCCAAAAAATTGGGTCGGCTGTTCAACAACGGTTATAAAATAAAATAGAGTACCAATTTTTATAATAAAATATTATTTAAAATTATGCTTCAGTCTTTTCGTGGTATTTAAAAGTTAAAGCGCTGTTAAATGAGGCTAGGTGCTTCGCCATGGTTGGTTAAGTGCTCTGTGCAGGAGGACTCTGTTGAATTTTTAGATATAGAGCTTCAAAATTTTATAAAAATGCACTATGATTAAAAGGCAGATTTTTCTGAAACTTTGATGTACTGCTTTGTTTTTTCAGTATTCTATACTAAAGCTGTGTTAAATATAAGTTATAATAAACCGATAACAGTTTGTACTCTTGAGGAATCTTTATTTTCATAATTATTTACTGCTGTATTTTACTTAGAAAATGCAATTTTTTTACAAAAAGAAAAAAAAACCTAAAACAACTTAAGTTCTTAGCCATAACAGCATTCTATAACAATCCATTAGAAATTTTTTTTTTAAATAATTAAAAAAAAAAAAAAACATGTTCTAATCTTTCACTTTATTTCAAGGCACAGCATTTGTTGAATCCATAGTATTCAATATTTTTTTTTTACAAAAAATGTTTGTAATTTGCTCATGTTAAGTTCTTGATCATATGTTTGGACAAGACAATATGANAATTAAAAAAAAAAAACATGTTCTAATCTTTCACTTTATTTCAAAGCACAGCATTTGTTGAATCCATAGTATTCAATATTTTTTTTTTACAAAAAATGTTTGTAATTTGCTCATGTTAAGTTCTTGATCATATGTTTGGACAAGACAATATGAAAAGCCGTTACGTTTTACCTCATACCTATTACATTTTATATTTGAATTAACAATTTACTATCAATCTCTGAACATGCCACATAGCATCATGTAAGTCAATTTGACATCAATTATTGATGCAAATTGAAATGCATGGACAATTTTATTTTAAGATTGTTATAAAATATGATCTTAATATCTATGTAAACTATAAGTTTTAAATAAAAAAATGGCGAATGAAACCTGTATCTCTAACTTAGTTTGAAGCTGTAATTTTTCGATCACAATGAGTACGTAAGTATGACAATTTCTGACGCCGTTGTTGTGTATTTTTCCCAGATGAAATTTATCAAGAGTTCTGAGCTGGGATTTTTTTTTTTTAAATTCGTGTATGATATCCAATTATCATTTTCCATGCTATATGTATAATTCTTCTTTTTCTCTTTTACTAATTATAAGCTTTCTTATTACATGGTTGCACGTATTGCCTTTCTCTATCTGCACCCCTCACACTCACACACTCCTCACCCCTCAGTACCCGTGATGCACTCTGCACCTGTGGCCGATTCCTCTGCTGCTTCTAATTCCACTTCTATAGCTTACTGTGACGACAAAGGCCAGGTATCTCTCCTTTTCTTTCTGAAAAGGTTCTACCTGGTATGCACCATTCCCACTGCTCAACATTACCTCTCAGGACAGTTCTGGAATTATTATTGGGGTCCCAAAAACATCAGAAACCCCCTCCCTTTTCTACTTCCCTTTACTATTTTGTGCATTCTTTAGTAAATAGACAATACTACTTAATATATTTTTCTAGTTCAGTGGTTCCCAAAGTAGTCTATATTGACCACCAGGGGTCAATGACAACCTGTAAGGGGTCCATGCCAAGTGGAAAAAAAATTGGGGGTCCATGAAATGAATATGGGGTCAACGATAATCATATAAGCAGGTCGTAACTTTTTTGACATTTCATGAATGGAATAATCAACATACACTGATAGAACCTATTTACTTACATTATACTACCTTATAATGTAAAGACATATATCTATCTACATTCTACATAATTTATTAAAGTAGCTATGAAGTAAAAATTTTATTAAAATTTAAGTTATTGGGATTATTTTCTGAAATATGAAACTGAATTATTATAAACTAGCAGTTGCCTGCAGCTCCACCGGCGTACAATTTTATTTTCACTGCATGTAAGGTTTTATTTTGTAACAAAAAAGTATTTTTCCGCGGTAAATTCATTTGAATTTAATTAAAACATGTATAAAATTAACATGTGTTTTTTCGCACTACACTTCACTGCAGTTAGAAATTTAAATCTTTCGCTGTGAGTAGCACTATACCAGCTGTAGAAAATACATTTGAAGTTGATGAATTTATAAAAAATCAATATCAGGTAAGCAGGGGCTCTACCCAAAACCGAAAAACATGGCAAGGGGTCAACGAGGCCAAAAGGTTCAGGAACCACTGATCTAGTTAACAGTACATACGATTTGAAACTCTGAAGGATTTTTTTTAAGCATCAGCAATTGCTTTCTCAAACAATGCAAATATGCACAGTAATAGTAATTTACCTTAATTTAAAGAGGCCTGTATTTAGACTTTTAGTTGATGCAGCAGTGGGAATAGGGTTGCAACCGAGAAAGGGAGAATTCAGAAATGAATTAGAGTCCCGGTAGCGGAAAACCTCCGGCACGAGAACAGACGCTGCAGATTGTTTTTCATCTATGTTTCTTTTAGTTTTTAAAAAGCAACCAACAAATCAGAAATTTGTTGCTGAAATTCCTTTTTAAAACAACTTTGAACTTGTTTATAATAAAAAATTAAAAAGCTGAAAGGAAAGAACATTATAATGAGAAGAAAGTAAAAAAAAAATTTCTTCTGTTACTTGATTATAGACTTTAACTGTATAGGGATTTTTTTTCCTATTTTTTTTCTAGTATTGTATAAAATTCAACTTCAATTGAAACACCATTAAGTTTTTATCTGTAATTTTTAAGGACCTTATAGTTGCAGATTTTGCTACATATTAGATTAGGCTTAATTTTGACAATAAGTCTTGTCTGATTGTATTGTGGTCACAAACTAATTTGAATTTATGAAGATAGTGCCACAATTTCAATCTATAAATTCTGCTACCGGGGTTCTAAACGATGCAGGGGCAAAACGTCAAATGTTTTCTTTAACTAAAATCAGTTAAAATTTAACCCTGTGATAATTTTTTTTACTGAGGATCTTAGGTACTGGTATTATATTAAAAAGCACACTTAAAAAATAATTAAAAATTTCTTTTCCCCTGCAAAACCAGTGTTAGTTTCTAACTTCTTCTCTAGTACAACAGCCCCCCATGCAGTCCTTTTTTTAAAGGCATTCGTCTGCAAATAATATGCTTGGAGGGTGGGACTTTGTAAAAATTTGACGAGGGGGGAGAAAACTGTAACAAGTTTCTCATACTGCATTTTCGTTAAAATGAAAACAATTAAAGTCGTAATTATCTTAAATATTTTTATATTTTTTCATCAAACTAAATAGACATCTAATAATTATTAGACGGGGCTCTCACGGGTCAAGGAAGACCTGGAATTTTTAGGGAATTTTATTTTAATTCCAAAAAGCAATAATTTTTTTTTTCTTCTTTTTTTTTTTACAAAAACCGGGAAAATTGCTATATGATACCTGGGAAATAACGAGTGTTAGAACTTTCAGGTACAATAATCAGTTATTTAAATAATTCTAACAAATAATAATATTTGTTGTAAAAACTCATATTTTAATTAAGCATTTCCATGCATTCAATGTTTTTTTTTTGCTCACAAAATTTGATATTTGACATTATAAATAAGAAAATCAGAGTTTTCCTGTGAAAAATTGCAAGGAATAGATAAAATATAGTCGAGATTTACGTTGAAATTTTCCTGAAATACCTGGAAAAGTAATGAAATTTTTTTTCTGAAATTAAGTGGGAACTCCGTTCACAAATGTCATAAAACTCATAGTGGAAACTTAGAAATAAAATTTGATCCATTATGCAGTTTATGTTTCTAAACTGCAATCATATGTTTATATAATGTGCTGTGAAAAAGGGGTATGGCAGAGTGTGATAAGATAAAAACTATGGGGAAAAAAAGATGAAATTATTTATTAGCAGCCCTTAAACTTTCTCAACTTTGTGAAAAATAATGACTAATTCATTTATTCGATGGGAGTAAATAATTATTATAATTGTAATTTAATTACCAATGAATTGTTTCGTGCGTAACAATCCCCCAATACCAGCCTTTGGCCCTGCTTCGTACAAATTCTGCTTGTGAGTCTCTCTTTCTGGTAGAACCTCTAGCTTCTAGTTGCGCTTTCCTTTTTTCTCTCGTGTGCACACCTTCTTTTCTGCTATAAACCTTTTTATACTGATCCTGTTGCTAATAATAAAACTGTATGTACTCGTTAGGCATTATGTACATATATTTACTTCAATTTTATATTACAGTTGCTGGACACCCTGCCACTGTGCCGAGATTTTAAATCCGGTCTTTGTAAGAGGCCACAGTGTCGCTATGTTCATCTTTTAGAAGGTATGGTTCATTTGTACTACTACCCTAGCAACAATTTTACCTTGGCCCCAGTTGGGGCTCAAAATTAACTCAATATCGGTCCTATATGAACATGCACCAAGGGACCAATATTGGTCCTATATAGGGCCCATATCGCCCTATATACAACCAATACAGGGCTTATATTGGCTAAACAATGAATATAAAATATCCAGAGTTGTCAAGATTTAGGCCAGACAGGATTAATCCACTGTTTAAACCGTCCTGTCCAAAATCCCTTTGTCCAAAACTGTCTTAAACTGTAAAAAACCTATTTACTCAAATTATGTCGCAATTTAAAAATAAAATAGTGAAAAATGAAATTTTAATTTTTGAACAAGAAACAAAGTAAAGACAAGTTTGTGTTTTATTTTATCAAAAAAGTTTATTATTGTCATTAATATTTCATTATTTATCCTTATGAAAAAACATAATTTATCAGTATTAAAAGCATATTTATGCATATTTAAAGGAATTCACTTTTGTTGTTGAATGAATTGTGGAGCTTCAAAAATTATACGAGGGTTGTCCATAAAATAAGGTTCCCAACGAATTTTCACAATGAAAAACATGTTTATTGGCATTGAATAATACATGTTTGGAAAGCTTAGACCTCCCTCTTTTTTTTCGGCATAATCGCCGTTTAGATCAATGCATTTTTACATGCGGTGTACCATCTTCTTTATGCCTGAGTCGTAGAACTCTGCCGTCGCTCCACGAAGCTAGCTTAAAACAGACAGAATTTGCTTAAACTTCTTCGGCTTTGGCGAGCCTGGATGCTTCCACTAACGGGATTGTTCTTTTGTTTCCGGTGTCATGTAGTGGACCCAGGTCTCGTCCCCAAAAATTCCTTGCCATCGGTTTCGTAGGCATGAAGAAATTCGCTGGCGGCTTCCACACGTTGCCGTTTGTTGTCATAGTCAGCCATCCGCATTTTCGGGACCCACCTTGCCCAAACCTTGGCATATCCTAAGCGGTCTCTCAAAATGCTGTGAATGCAGGACTTACTAGCAACAGGGATCATCTCGCTGAGGTCCCGAGCCGTCACCCTTCGATCTTTCAGCATTGCTTCTTCCACTTTAGCAATCGCTTCGTCCGAAAACGATGGCCGGCCAGGACGTTGTTCGTCATGGACGTCTGTAAGACTGTTTTTGAATTCTCTGCACCATTTGCGCACATGTTGCACACTCATACACTCTTCCCCGTACGCCTCACACAGTTGGGAATGAATGTCCACCGGAGGAACGTTTTTTGCACTCAAAAACAAATCACAGAGCGTAATTTGCACCTAGCATGAGAAACAAATGGAAGCTCCATCCTTCACGGCTACCAAGACAAGAATTAACGTTGTAGATACCTCGCCGGGGCGGGAACTGGGAGCCAAGTTACACGCCAGTCTCAACAAATCCCGCTTAACAGCGTTCCTAGCGTCCGCAGCTCCTTGGGAACCTTATTTTATGGACAACCCTCATAAATCTCTTTCCTATTATATTATTTTCCTTTAATAAAGCAAATTGTATAAAATGTTTATTAATTATGTAGTGTACAATGGTTACACATAGAATTTTTACTCTTTTGCCAATGTCCAAGGTTTTTGACAGTTTTAGTCAGTTTAGGACAGTTTATAACAGTAAAACCTGCGTGTCCAATCCAAAACCAGCTCGGGACGTTCAAAACCACAACCCTGAAAATATCGGGTGAATTTGACAATTTCTATATAGGGCTGATATTTGGTTGTAAAGTGTCTGTGAAATATTGGGTAAATAAGACAATTCTATGTAGGGTCAATATAGGAGAATAACAGCCCTTTGAACACTTATTGAGCCAAGATTCGTGAATATAGGTCCAATAAGGGCCCAAGTTATTTTGCTGCTAGGGTATTTATATGAATCAATCAGCATGAACTCAACTTGTAGCAAATTATCTCAAATTGTCTGCCATCTCAAGGCAGTCAGGCAGAGGTTATTATTGTTAAAAATCAGTTTAACGTACATATGTAGCAAGTTTAGGTATTTAAAAATTTTAGGCAAGAACTTAATAGTTTAAAATCAATTTCAGTTTTAACAAATGATGCTTTGAAAAATTGAATGAATCCCTATATCTTAAAAGCCAGTAATAAAGCTGTGTTCTGTCAATTTAGTGTTTTAGGTTTGATATGAAACAAGTTAAGAATAGTGCTTGAGTGAAAAAGGCTCAGATGTACACATTAAGCTCAGTAAAAAAATTAATATGTATATATATTTATAAAAAGAAAATATTTTCTCCTAGAAGGGAAAAAATTAGTCTGCAGTTGTTACCGTGCAGAAAGGTTTTTTCTACCTGAAGAATATCTTTTTTTTTTTAGACTTTCAATCCTTTTTTTACCAGTTTGCTCACAAAAAAAAAAGCAGACTGGATTTGAAAAGGAGAAATGACCTAGAAAAAGACCCTTTGGTCTTATAAACTGGAAAACGCTAGCATAAAAAAGGTTGGCCTGAAAAATACTTCTTGAGAAAGCCAAGGCCCATCCTGGGCTGTCGAGCCATTGATGATTAAAGATGATGATCCTTTTTCTACTTGGGTATCGAATTTAAAGTAAACTATTGTTATAGATATGGAATTAAAAGGAATTGATGGATTGAATTAAAAGGAAGATATGGAATTATTATGATTAACTCTAAACTTAAAAGAAATGCAAATTCTAAGCCATGATATTGTAGGATGTTGCATCCCTGGTAACGAACCATAGTATAGCCAAAAGAGATGTAAACAAAAAAAATTTTTCAAATATGAACAAGGGTAAAAATAAAGCTGGCGACGTCAGTAGATCAATGCTATTGATGTCTCCGATCAATATAATTGATGTTACAATTATTTAGGAGATGGTGTGAACATTTGTTTATGGAATGCATACCTGTAGCCATCATTTCTATTCAGAGTGATAGAGGTCACTCCTCTATAAATGATGGTAACATCAGATATTGGGGGTGACATCAGGAAATTTTTCAGTTTAGATTTGTTTATATATTTCATATGTCATCTATATTTCTTTACTTAATATTAGTAAAAATATATTAATTAAGGCACTATCTAAACAATAAAAATCGGATCAAAATGATTTTGATTATTATGTGAAAATAAAGGCTTTAGTGATATTTCTTTATTATAAAATAATTCTATCATATTGCCTTATTACTCAGCATTTTATGATTTAACATTTTTCAAACAGTTTATAATTCATTAACCATTTTACAATTTATAAACAGTAAATATATTCACTTGTATAGTGCATTTTATGAAAAACTGTGAACTTCTAACATCTGCAGTTAAAAAAAAAAAAAAAATACAAAATCAGGGACTAAGAGAATTTTTCGNCAAACTAGTAAAAAAAGTTTTAGGAATTCTTTTTTTTTTTACATTAATTCTAAATTATCTCTTTGGTGAAAAACATTCAGGGCCGGATTAACCTATAGGCACACTAGTACCGTGCCTAGGGCCTACGAAAAACTTGGGCGAAAAATTTTTTTGACAAAAATAATTTAACTTTAAAAACAAGTGTATTTAGCACAAAATTATGAAGATACAAGTAAAAATATAATATTTTTCGGTAATAAATTATTTTGCAGAATCTTATGATCTAATATATTACTTTTTTGCGATTTTTGGATTCAATGAAATCTTATATTATGCTGTCGAATTCCAAACTGCGCAAAAAGTTTGATAAACAAATTTGTAAATTAAAATCCATATTGATAAAAATGTAAAAAAAGAAATATGCAAGAAAATTTTAGCATATATTTTGAAAAGAGGGGAGGAGTAGGGGAAGGAGGGGAGGGCCCAAAAAACGGCTATGCCTAGGGCCTACGAAAGGTATAATCCGGCTCTGAAAACATTGCACAAGTTTTTATGGCAACCAAAAATTAAACAGGAATTTAAAAGAACAAAATTGTAGAGGAAAATGCAATAATTGAGAAAAACTATTATGTTTAAATTTTATCCTTATAGAATCAGAAGCTTAATCTGTGAAACTAAATTTATGTAAATACAGTGAAACCTCTTGGGGGCGATTAATTAAAAATGTGAAATTTTGCTCTTTGTGGGAATCGCACGACCAATTGGATAAACCAATTACAATTACTAAGATTTCCCTTATTCTCTAAAATGAAAAATTTTATGGATTTACTTTGTAAGATTTTCCCTAACTTATATCGAGGAATGCAACTTTTCGTGACCACTTTTATAGCTGTTCTCTGTTTAGTAATTAATAAATAAATTTTTTACTCTCCTTCCCTGCCTAAGACCTGTTTTAATCCTTCCACTCAGCAACGACGTTATATATATATATGTATATTTTTCCAGATTACGTGGAGGTGGTTGATGGAAAAGTGACCGTGTGTCGTGATGCCGTGAAGGGGAAGTGCGGACGCCCACTCTGCAAGTACTACCACATACCTCTGTCCACTCCATTCTTGAACAGCGTGCTGTGACTTCATCCTCTTCTTTAACAAATCTTTTCTCTCTGCGTCATCTATATAAAAAATAAAAATACAAACAGTCCTTCTGTGATAAACAGATTTATTTTCTTGAAAAAATTCAGTGACTAGTCATTAAAAGATGGACAAAAAGGTCACTCCCTTCACTGTGCCATGACTGCCTCCAAGATATATTGTCTCCTCACACCCTCTAATCCTCACTTGTTGAATTTTCAGATGATTATTAAAAAAAAAAAGACTGCAAGCAAGTGTAATTGGATTCTCCTTTTGTTTGATTACACTTAAAACAGTGTTGTGTTTCGTATTAAGTTGTTACGTTGATTAACTGTTATTCTTTTTGAAGATTCAAATCAGTGTTTCCCAAACTCTCTGATACCTGGAAAACTGCAGATGTGTTGTGTTTTGGTCAGGAACGTTTTTCAATTTAGCCTGTTTCATTTCTTCGCTTTTTTTACAGTAAAACTAAACCATGGAATGGGAAACTACATGTGAAGAATATCAACTGATAGAGTATGGAAGAAAGAAACGACTATCAAAATTTTAATCTCAATATTTTTAATTGGTAACATTTTGTCTTTCTTCATTTTAATGTCAAAAATGTGATGTCACAAATTCAAGGTGGCAAATGTTAAAAATTTAGATTTATCTTTTTATTTTATTTTATGAATAAGTTAAATATAATGCCAATGTTAACGAGCCAAGGGCAACAATCAATGGGAAAAAAATTTATGGAATTGTTTATATTAATCTATATTACAAGTTACTGTAAATCAAATCCTTTGTGTATTACATTGAACATTGTTTGAGAAATTCTGTAACAATGCTCTCTATTACAAGTTACTTGAAATAATATCCTTTGTGCACTCGAGAGCATTGTTTTAAGAAATTCTGTTACAACGCCCTCTATTACAAGTTACTTGAAATCAAATTCTTTGTGCACTCGAGAGCATTGTTTTGAGAAATTCTGTTACAAAGCTCTGTATTACTAGCTACTTGAAATCAAATCATTTGTGCATTAGAGAGCATTGTTGGGAAACTCTGCCTCCTTGCTATAGTTGACGCAATTATAATAGATGTTTCAACATTACTGCTATTCGGTTTAAAATGTTTAAAGAAGTAAATTCTTTTTTTTTTACTTAAACTTAATATGTTTCTGATAGAAAATTCAACGCATTTAGTGTGTTACAGGGGTAACCGGTGAATGAAATAATTAATTCTGTATCTTTCATGCATCTACTTAAGTTGCGTTGAGTATAGTGTTAAAATAGCAACTGAAATTCAATTTCATTTACAAAATGAAATATTGTTTTTATATTTCATTAAATGCATGCAGAATGTTTTGGTTGAAACTTTGTTGTGCAATTTTTATATTTTAACTGAATTTTCAAATGTATGTATGACCTGTTTTATAGTTTATTATTTATATTTCATTTTTTAAAAAAATATATATATTTCTTTTCATTTAGTAGAGCATCATTACTATTACATGTTTTATGCTTTAAGTGTGGAAAAATCATGAAGTTCGTTATAAATGAAAATATATCTACTCTATCTATCTATCTATATATATATGTATATGTACGTATGTGCATTAGAATTACTTTGCATTTATGTTTGTGTGTGAGTATCTAACTCATTCCAATTGAATTTGTATAGTTGTTTGTTTTTTTTCCTTTCGAAACAAAACTAGTCTGATGTGTTAAATCAAAATGTTTTTATAATGATATGCTTACGAAATTTTAATATTTGTTACGTTTCTAATCAAAACTAAAACGTATAGGAAAAAATTAAGTAAAAACAAATATGGTTGCCATACATACACATTAGGGTAATAAAATTATTTTTATGTGAGGTAAACACGAAATGATGGTATGTGTTCTTCAAAAACGTTTCATTTTTTGATGGTTTTACTATTTTTAATGTTTCTAAATGTTTAGCATTTGTTAAAATAGCTAAGTGAAAAAAAATAAATATGTCGTCCAAAGTTGCCTTCTTTTTTAACCGTGTAGGTAGGCTGGATTAATAATTCAGTTGTAAACCTAAAACTGAATTAGTAATTCTAAATTTTAAAATTATTAAACGGTTCCTTTCATCGAAAATTGAGTCTTTATACTTTTGGTTTTGTAACTTACAATACCAAACATTAAATGAATAAGTAGCTGGATGTTTTAAAAAAACTAAACTGAAATATAATCTTGTGCTGTTCAAAACAATAGTTCTTAGGTAAGATTATGTTTTACACATATGTAAAGCCTCCAGATGATTATCATCAGATCTAATTATCGTCCTTTTTTTTAAAATTAACAAAAGTATCCTTTCCCATTTTAGAAGCGGGCCCGAAAAAATACGCTTTAATAATTTTTTTATGTTAACTTATTATAATTTAATTATTTCTCAGTGTGATGAGAAAAATATTAATTTGCATTAAACATTAAGCTACTAAGAAAATTAAAAATAATGTTTACAAAATTGTGTAGTAATTTTGATAGTGTAATAATCTCTTTTGAAAATAATAAATAATAGCAGGTTTTAAACTCTCTCAATGGAAAAATCTTTATTATTATTATTTACAAGTGTGAACTAAAAAATTTAATTTTAAATTAAACTTCGAACTACCTCGGGTATAAATGTTTTGGTAAGGATTTTTTTTTTAAATAATTATTGTTTATACTTTTAACACTAGCATTTTGGATTTTTAATGCTATAATTTCAGTGTTTTTTCCCAAGCTAATTTAAATTAGTTTGGAAACAATCATAACATTTCTGACACTATTTTGCAAGTTGTGCAACTCTGATCTAGCCTGTTCAGAAAATTGTAAAGCAAAACTATTGCTTTGAGCAGCACTGTTAAATATGTGTAAATACTTTGCTATACCTTTCTAATGATTGGTGTTCTTTAAATAAATAAACAAACATCCTAACCCGACATATTATTTATGGCAGTACTTGTTTTGAGTTCTCTTGAAAGTATTGCTGCCAGAGGTCTACAGAGTTGGGGTTTCCGGCCATTTGAGTATTGTTTTTATGCCATTTCACAGATTTCTATTTTAAGATTGAAAGTGAGAAATATATATTATGAATACTAGTACAACACTTATCACCTATGTAATGTTTTGTCAATAAATGTTTAAATGCAAATTTTGTTAATAATCATCAAATAAATGTTTTGTTTTAATTTTTTTTCATTACCTGTGCCATAACTAAACAATATTATGTTTATGCCACGCCTTCATATTTTATAAAATAATAATCTAAATTCAATGCTTGAGATCATAAGTTAATTTTTTATGAATAATAAAGTGTGTTTTAATCTGATAAAACAAGATGGCTTTTCATCTTTACCCTATTTTCATCATTCTGATTTTAAAAAAATTTATGATTACTTTAACCTTCAGTACTTTATTAAATTCTGATATAGTGTGTAGTTTAACATTTTAATAATTATAATTCCAGTTAGTGAAAAATTAAATCTCTAATTTATTACAATAATATTTTGTTATCACTGAATTTCATCTTTCCTTAAAGGAAAATGACAATTGAGGTTTTACATACTACTAAATAATGCAGGGAGAACACACATTCGCATTAATGGGCAATGATTAGAATTTTGTCTTTGAAATATTTTGTTAGTTCAAACATATTTTTTTTGTTCAATATTTCATCTAGAAAAATTATTTAAAAAAAAAATTCAACTTTTAAAACTCTTAAAATCTGAGCATTTTTATCCTAATTCAAAACTATTCATTTTCTTTTTACTGAATTAAATTCATTTTAGTTCGATTATCATTTTCAATTGAAAAAGTAGGAAACTGTATTTCTAAATGGTTAAAGAGTTGTACATTGAAAATTGTATAACTTTTATATAGCGATTATTATAATGTTTTAGAATTGAAATTGTCCTACAAATGTATATGCATGATTTTTATAACTATAATGTTTATAATTTTTCTAATTAAGTGTTTGTTGTTATGTCTCACAAAAATGATGGTTGCTTTATTCAAATCTATGGCGTTTCGGGATCTATTTTTGTACATCCCGGGGCAGTATTTTTATGACCTAAAATTTAAAAATAATCTTAGCTTACATAAAAGCAATTGAAGTTATTGTAATAAATTACAATGTGTAATTTTTATTTTTTATGTAAAAAAAATATATATTAAAAAAATTTTATGTTAAAAAACTTGATGGATTTTATATAGTTTACAGATTTTTGTTGTTTATAAATAATCTTTATGAATTGGGAGCTATAAGTATAGAATGTATTTGTGTATGTAAATTAACATTTAATTGCAATTATTATTCTAATTGTTGAAAATCTAAAAGAGATAATCTGTTACAGATCCCTTAGTTGTTAATTAGTAAATAAATTTTAACAAATTTTTCATCTCTTACAACAAAACACTTGGGCTCATTATTTTGTTTTTAAAATTTGTAATTTTTATCTTATTTTTTAAATCCCTATGTTTTAAAATAATTGCATGCTACAGTGTCTTGATCATCCTATATAATATTTTGCTTGACTAGTTTCGAGTTAATAATTTTTTTTCAGGGAAGACAAAATAGCTTATATAAGTCTACAACGCAAAATATTCTCTTGTAAAAATAATGAAAATTGTTTTGAAGGGCCCATTGCTGTTATTGACGGTTGTATTAAGCGCAACCTTTATTTCTTTTTTTCGTAATTTATATTTAGGGGGGGGGAATTGGTCTTACGGAATTTTTTTTTTAAAAATGTAACAAAAGAAAAAAAAAATCGTTTTTTTTTTTCCAATTATATTTTTGATTATAAATTTGTAATGATTTCGATTATTGAAATATTTTAACCAGCTAAAATAAAATATATTCTGTTAAAATTTCATTCTGCTTTGTTGAGGAATAAAAATGTTATGAGTGTTTCAAGAAAAACATGTTTTAGAATTTTTTAAATGGTTACAAAATCATGTAATCTGAGTTAACCTTTTCTATATCACGGGGTATTCAGCTATTGAATCCATGGCCATATTCTACAATGAAGAAAATTCAAAATTGTTATAAACTGATATTTCCTAAATTTTAGATTGTTCAGAGCCTAAAATTTTTTTTCTACAATTACAAGTGATGTTCATTGCTAATGTTATTGCATTACTCTGAGTTTGATTTTAAAGAAAAAGCTGCTTTAGGAATGAGTTTCATTATTTTACAATTACTTTAATTAGACAAAAATTAGTTTATCATACAATAAAAAATGCTGTACAATGTATTTTAAACTATTCAATATGGTTGCTATATGTATTATAAGTAGTTATGAGAGTGGCTATTGAGTTGAGTTGTAAGTGACATTTGAAGAAAAACTTTTCAATATCTATACATAGCTGCCAACTCTACTGGACTTTCTAGTAGATTGCTGGATTTTGCCAGTTTCCCCTGGTCTACTAGTTTAATTAAAATTCTCCTGGTTTTTGTACATTTTAGAAAATTCCCTAACATTGAGTAAGTTTCCTTAAAAAAATCCCTATTGAGATTATTGCTTTCTTGAATATTTAAATAAGTATCACTAATTCATAATGAAGCGAGCTTCATTTATAAAATTCACTTAACTATCTTTGATGAATTAATTGCCAATTACTATTTGAAATTATGAATAAACATAATACATAACATTTCTAGTTCATTTAATGGGAAATCATAACTGGAAAATAGTGCAGTTTTTCTATTTTGATGACTATAAAATTCCCTAAAATTACGTATGTGTAAAATAATAAGTATATTTTGCAACAATTATCGTGAAATCTACTGGATTTTTTACAATCCGTGTTGGCAGCTATGCTTATGAAAATAGTTGTGTACCTAAGCTGTGTAAAATACAAATCTGCTTATTGTATTGCACTTCTATTGATGAAGAAAGTTGAATTACGCGATAGGAGACAAAGGTTCAACCCAATTCATAAAATAATTATGCTTAAGAGTGCCTAGAAAAATTCTTTTTATAGCGAATTCTGTCTCACCTTCATTGGTATTTTATAGTTAAGAGAAAAGTGAGTTCAGATATGGTTCGTTCACCAGGAGTTGGCACTTGGCTCCTCAGAAGCAGAGTTCATTTGAGCGTGGGAGGAGAAACATCTCCGCACTTGAAATTGAGACAACCCTTAATGCGAGCCAAACAGAAACGGTGAATTCTCTTTCAGTCACGCATTGCCATCTGCTATTATGTTATTCGTTACTCTCGCTAATTAAATAAATTTAAAAACTGCTGTTTTTCCCGGCAAAATCTCTCGAAAAGGACTAACTATTCACTCAAAAGAGAGAAAAATCATCAAATTTATGAAATATTGAATGTTAAAAAAATGCAGATAATGTTTGCGAAATAAATATTTTTTTCATCCGATCGCCAAATAGCAACCTCGTTCAGCATCCTTCTCCCAAAAATAGCGAAATAGTATCGTCGGATACCACGTGATGAAGGTGGAGCCAAGTGCCAACTCCTGGTGAAAAGAACTGTAAACCATGAGGTTTCAAATGCATTGTACAGGTGTTCTAGTGCTGCAGCAAATAATTTTAGAAATCATGCCCTGGGTATGTTTAACCTAATTTTGCCCCTATTAAGGGAGAAATAAAAAGTCCTCTGAGAACCTAATTTTAAAATTTTTTGAGGAGCCTCTTTTTAATGTTTATTCAAAGCCTATTCCTACTGCACTTTTCTATGGTGTTCTTAGCAAAATCGAAAGTGCACATGCTCTACTGGAGGTACTTCTACGCAATAACATTTTTTCTGTGTCATCTTTGTGTGTCTCTGACGAGCAGTAGTTTTTTACTCTAGAAAGTTTTCTCAAACATATAAAGAAAAAGCCCACAAAAGCATTTCTACTCATTCGCTTATTCGTCCTCTAGTTTTTATCATTTATGAATGGATTCAGTTGAAGTTCTTAATGTTTATAGAATAAAATTAATCCCTAGCTGCAATTTGATTAAGATTTGTTTTATTTAATGACATTCTGCCCGTAATTATCTCTTATTAATAGCAACAACAAAAAAGTTTCCATTTATTAATACAGGGTTTCTCTAAACACCACCATAAATCTATACTTTTAGAATATTTTTGAAAAAGTCAGCCCATTACGAAACACATATTCTAATATAGTAGGAAATTAATATTTATATTCGCAGCGAAATCTATCCTTTAGGTATTGTATGCGCTACATGTAGAATAATTAGCGTTAATATTGTTTATAGTCTTGCCAATAAAAAAAGATAACAAACAAATACAGATTCTACTGAGACGAATGGTAATAATAATGAAGAATTTAATCAAAAATATAAGAATAAAAGGAAAATCCAACACTTATAGCTTTTATTGGTTCAGGACATTTTTGTTTGGTTTATTTGCCTAGTCCAATTTTTTTTCCATAAGAATAACATAATTAATTGTTCTTTGCTAAATCAACCTTATCCTTCTTAAAAAGCAATTCTTTTATTGTAATTTACACTTAAATAGTTTTAAATTGATTAATAAAGGTTATGAGAGAATTAAATTTATTGCAGACATTGCTCAAAATATAGTGTGTCTTCATCAAAAGGTTAAGAAATAAATACTCTTTAAAGAAGTGATATTAGTTCATATATGAGAGAATTTTTTTCTATTTATATCAACTTATCAGTATTAATTTTTTTAAAAAAATGTTTGATTTTGAGCAATTTGTTTAATGAAAATTAATAAATAAATGTTTGTGATTCCGATCATTCTAAAAATGCATATAAAAGAGAGTGTTTAGAGAACACCATGTGTAATCGTTTTTAATCTCTTAAATTATTGTATTGTTTATAACTAGATAAATAAATTGTATTAAATGTTGCCATTTTTGTTGGAGAAGTTATCCTTTACTTGAGAAAATTCTAAAATTGCTTTGTTGGAGGTTAATATGCATCAAAAGTTCTTCAATGATTTTTTTTCTTTTGCATTTTATTTTAGATTAGTGTCATTTGATCTCTTTAATGTATTCTATTGGATCTAGAAATGTTTAGCAATTTACATATTCTTTTAAATTAACATGCAATTTGTGCCGTGTAATGTAGTTAAATAAGTATTTTAGATTTTGATGTGCTGTCATAGATTTATTTATTTTAATGAATTAAAATAATAATAAACTATTATTAAAATTTTGCTAAGAAAAAACAAAGCAAAATTTTAATAATTGGTTATTACTATAAAATGGATATTACTGCAAAAAATTATTAATAACTATTAAATATTAATAGTAAATACATTAATACTAACGATAATATTTGGAAATATTAATACTTATATGCAGTAATTATAAATGATAGCTTTTTCTTGAAATTTAACTTGCATATAAAAAAGAAAGAAAAAATTTTTAAGAATATATTTTCAGACGCCTTGAAAAAAAATTTTAAATTATTGTTTATAATTATTATTATTATTCTTTAATGGTTTGTTCTTTTGATAAACTGAGGCATTTCTCTGATAATTGCTCTTTCTTCCCTTTACTTAAGAACAAGAAAATAAACCAAAGCCATTAATGACAATAAAATCAAATCATTTTCTAAATATCTATTAAAATTGTTTAAGCAGAACATGACTTAAGGGGTACGACACAGTAGAAGCCTATCAAAAGACAGAAAATTTTTTTAATGAATTTTGCAACGATTTTAGTAATTATAACTTATAATTTTTTTTCTTCATATTGCATATATTTTAATCTTTATTTTATTATTTAAAAAATACGAAAATTAAAAAAATTATCGCTTATAAAATACGTTTCTATATATTTTTTTTAAAAACTATCCATAACTTGCTGTACTCATAAACTGAAAAAGAATCCTCCAAGTTTGAGTCTGTTTTAATTTTTTATAAACTACATGAATACTTTTCAGTGCACATAGGATTTTTAAAATATCTTTTTTTCACAAAATGATGTTGTTGGGAGAAAAAAAATTTAAAAAGGACATAAAATAAGTTCAATTTAGTGGATAACTCAAAACTAGTCAACCCAATTTAAAAATTCCTATGTCAACGAAAACTGCGATTACTATGTCAGCGAAACTAGATTTATTGTGAACATTGTGTCAAAATTTGAAATAAATCGGTTGAAAATTATACTAGTTAGAGAATAAGAAAAAAATAATTTCAAGTAAATTGCATTTAAAGCTCTGTGATCACTAATTCATATAAATATATAAAGTTTAGCAACTAACTATAACGCATCAATATCAGGTCTATAAGATGATTCTTCTCCATTTAAAGCAGTCTCGAGTGCTTGTCTAGCCCTTTTATTATCAATATACTCTTTATATGACGTCTCGTGTATTTAGTGTAGCAGACGAAATTCTACTGCCATCTTCATTTAGAGTACATTCTTTGACTTTTGGGCCTATGTTTATTTCTAATTGTTCCAGAACTCTCAA